GAAATTTGGAAGGGTGCAAATTGATGCTATCAGTGTCTCCCCAATACACATACAAAATATAGAAAACCTCTTTAGAATCCCTTTAAGATGAATTGTGTCATCAAATAGTCGAAGAAATTTTTTTTATATTGATCTTCATTTCATTGATTTAACAAGTTTCTTGGGCTTGTTTCACAAAAAGCTTAATATAGGATGATTAAAGTGTTCTAATTATCTCATTGGTCAATTTGATTTTAAATCCAGTTTTCTAAAAATCTGTGTTTAGGTTAAAATTTTATGAAACAGGTCTAAGTACATCAAATAAGATTAGATTTACTAATAATTGATTTCATTATAGGAAACCTACATTTTGTCAATGTTCGAGCCTGGGATATTGTTGATGGTAAATCCTATATATGTATGGGTTATAATGCGTTTGCTAACATCAGAAGATACACTACATATTATACCATCAAGTCCTCTTTCAATAGTATGTATTTTTTTTTAAATATGATGCCCGGAGGTTATATTTACTGAAAGGGTATTGGGTGTTTGTACAGTGTGCTCTGTGAATTCTGACATCTGAGTGCTATGACAATCTGGACAAGTTGATTCCAGATTTATGTGTCGGTTGTAAAAAACTTTAGAACCAAGCTAGAACATGAAACACTGGTAGATATATTGGCTATACAGGATTCTGCTGTTTTCAAGAAAACTTTCAGGGGTTTTAAGGCTTCTCAATTTTAATGGAGCAAATATATTTCTGATCATGTGGGTCAAATGTGGGTATTGTGTTGATTATAACTTAAACTACCTAAAAATAAGACAGCTTGTGTTTATGTTTTGAAACAGACTTGAATGAGTGGAGATATTGTTATTATACTATACCTTGTGATATTTGATGTTACCTCAGTTGGGAGCTATGGGGTGTTTGTATTCAATAAAAATGTGCTTAACTTGTTTATTTTTTAAATTGAACAGATTCATCTAAACGTGAGCCTGATTTACAGTGGTCCTCACCCCGAGAACCAATGGGTATTATGGGTGATGAACTCAGTTTAAAATGTATATTTTCGGGCTTGTAAGTACAGATTAATTTCATTTGAGACTCACAGAATGACTATAGCTGGGAAGACAGAGCTTGCTGATCCTTTCACATCAATCAATGTGTCAAATCAACAGCACAAACAGTTTCCTATGGAATCTTGTATGCCTTGGCCTTGTATTGCCACTCAAATTTGAAATCTCTTGCTATGTTTGTTTTCCAAAACTATGAAATTCAACCTGACAAAAAGTGAACTGACAAAATTTTGATAAAAACCCATACAAGCAAAACTGTTAACTGTTTACCAAAATTTGTTTCCGATGCAAGACAAAATTAGGAGTGATAAATGTCCTCAAATGAGAAGTCTACTTCAGATGTTTCAAAAAGAGTAAGTATGATCTGTTTCATAGGTGAAAATCATCAGATACCACCAGATCAAAACAAAACAAATCTATGCAAAAAGCAAATTTGTTGACAATGATTGTTTTCACCTCTTAAGAGACAAAAGGAATTTAGCATTTCATTCACCCAATAAGAAGTAGTAAAGTGAGATGTAAAACTTTATTTCTAGACCTACACCAGAAGTGCAATTTGAAAGAATTGATGGTCGACCAATGAGTGGTTATACTATGAAGAAATCATTCGGACTAGAGTTATATTTCCCTAGTGTAGATATCTCTGATGCTGGTATTTATAGATGTTATGCAAAAAATCAACAGAATCGTAAAAAGAGAGCTATAGACATCAAAACTTTTAATATTACTGTTGAATGTAAGTTTTTACAACTTTATTACTTGAACATTTCAATAAAAAAGTTCCGTACTTTCACAGTTAGTGTTGAACTGTATATTTATAAAGAGGTCTACTTGATGTTGAAATATAGAATATGAAGTGACTTTACTCCTAAAATTTTTTGAAAGTCTAATGTTTTTAATTGTTACTCTACTTTCCTGGTTCCTTGGTATCAGGGGTGTGGCCAACTGTTGGAGGAGAAGAATTTATCTTAGATGCTCTATACGATTTCAGGACTTCTGGTGTATTTTTCTCAATCGATGGATGGGTAACAGCCACTACCATAGAGCCACCTTGTTCCATTGGGAACCTGGGGTGTATTATGATTACCGTTAATGAAAAATTATAAAATTTACATTGTTCAAAGCCCATTGATATTGGGTGTGAGGGGTGAGAATAATTGCTTCAGGGGTGTGAGGACTGAAAAAGGTCAGACACCACTGCTTTTTATTAGATGTATGTAGGTATTTGTGCACACTTTAGGACAATTTAAAAAGTCTATCATTGTTTTTATTTCAGCCAAACCCTATTACGATGTACGACCTAAAGATGTTGAAGTAATTGAAAATGAAGATGCTGTGTTCGTGTGTCGAGCTGAAGGTATACCCAAACCTAACATCACCTGGTACATCAATGGTAAAATGGTTTCAAGTAAGTTTTGTATTTTGTACATAAAATCCATTTTGTAGCAATAATAAATAATAATAATAAATACAATATTTATAGAGCGCGTTATATAAAAACAATTACTCTAAGCGCCTCACATAAAAATAAATAAAAAATAAAATAAACAGTTTAAAATAATTGCAGTCAATTAAAAGTATATAGAATGAAATAAAAGCAGTTCGAAAGAAGTGAGTCTTGAGTTGTTTTTTAAAAACGTCTAAAGAATTCAGATTCCGCAATGACAATGGTAAACTGTTCCAGAGTGTAGGCGCGGCCTTGTCAAAACGCCTTTCGCCGTAGCTTTTTGTTCGAACGTCATTTGGAGGATTTAAACGCATACTGTTTTCCGACCTGAGGGATCTATTGGGTTTGTAAGGTGTAATTAGTTCTTGAAGGTAGCTAGGAGACTTACCATGCATTGCTTTATACACATAAACAAGAAGTTTATGTTGATTTGCCAATCAAGTTACATTTAATATTGATTTTAGTTATTAATCAATCAAGTGTATGATATGAGTATATACATGTGTAATCTTCAGAGTTTTTATCAAAGGTCTGGTAACTATCCTGTGGTTCCAATAACATGTTTGAAATTGTGACATTTGTTCAGGGTACAAATAAGAGGCAGACTGACTTAATGAGGGGACAACTGTCAAGGCTTAATTTAAGCTCTATGGAAGCTCCTTAGGCATTTGAGTTCTCCCTGACACACATTTTGGGGTAAAAGCATATAGAATTCTTATATCTATATTTGTCAGAATCGAAGTTGGGGCACAAATTCCCCCCAACTCTATACCTCCTAATGGTGCCGCCACCTCATGTTTTACATATTTTATATGTTAATTGCTTTATTTGCCAGTTTATTTGCCAAGATATGAAGTTACTGGTTTAAACAACGAAGTATTACGAATTGATAGAGTCAGGTTATCTGATAAGTTTGTGGTACAATGTAATGCATCTAATGAACACGGCTCTCTTCTGATGAACTTATATCTTTACGTCAGACCAACACCAAGTAAGTTGATATTGTATGTCTTGTCAACAAGATGTATACTAGGAAATACAATGTGTGCCTGCTCTAGCAACTTAATCAATATGAGAAGTACATTGAACCTCGAGACTAATAACAACAAAAGCTATTTTAGAACTTAAAAGGATCTCCAATAAAACGTCAATTTTGCCTCCATATTTGACCGAAGTGTCTCTGTATTATTTTAGCATTAATTGAGGTGAAGAATTCACTCTTGCTGACATGCCCCTGAATTGTTCATTCAGGCCGTACACACCAGATCAATGGTGTTCTACAGGAAAGTTCTTCTTCCTTTGTTCTTATTCTTAAACGTAATTAATGGACTTAACTTTTCTCAGACGTGATTTATACATTATTATTGTAGCTACTAGACCAGGAAGATGTCCCCCAGTAAATAATGGTACTATGGGTATCGGAATAGAAGAATGTACAGTTGATACTGATTGTCAACAAAATCTTAAATGTTGTTCCAATGGATTTGGACACCAATGTATGAAACCCATTAGAAATGAAACACATGGTAATTGTTCGTTTATTGTCTCCCCTTACACATTCCGATTGCACTAACTAACTAATAACATACTAACAGCACCTCAAACAAACCCTGAAATCCCAAATATAAGTTTTGCAATACATGGTACCAGCAAATGAATTATTCAAATGAAAGTATATCAATCATATGATGAAGTATATCTTAATTAATAGTGGTATCAGGTGTCTAGTCTACATAGACTTTAGCAAGACTGAAACAACTCTACCATCCCAGTCAGTTGTCACTGTTTTGATTATTAGTCAACTGGGTATTCCTCAAAGCTATTTACAATTGATATTTGGGTTTGTCAGCTGAATTTTCCTAGTACTTGATGGTTAATGGATATTCAAATTTGTCAAAAAAGCATCTCTTTCAAGAGAAGAGTGAGGTAAAATATCCAATGTTTTTTTTGGCTATTCATATTGGTGATTAATATCTCATTTTGATATGTTTTAGAGAACTGTTATACTCTGATGGGACAGTGTTTAAATGGTGGTTCATGTTTCCCTGGTAATGGATCTATGTCATATTGCTTTTGTCCTAGAAGATACACTGGTAACAGATGCCAAACATGTAAGTTTCAATTTCCCCATGATGAATTGAGTCCAAGGCCAAAACTTTAGTGAAATTGAGCTCCACTAAGATAAGTATTGTTGTGTGTATTGTGAGTAGTTTTGGACATGCTTCCTCTGCAAGAACCACTGTGCAAATGGAATCTACAACTTGACACCCCATCGTAGAGACCATATAGTATATTCTGTGAATTCCAACATTCTGCACAATCTGACATGGTCTCAATTAATTTCTTTCTTGTGTAATTATAAAAACTTCTAGTACTATGACATTCTGTACATTCTGAATTATGACTTTAATAATGTGGCAATATAGCCATATTTTACTAGTATTACATCTAGGTTTTTAAAATCATTTTTAAACGCTGGTCCTTGACATTGTAGGGAGACGGTTACCATGTGATAGTTACCCATGTCAGAATGGGGCTAGTTGTCAAGATTTGACTAATGAAACCTATAGCTGTAGCTGTCCTAGTAGTTGGGGAAAGAACTGTGAAAGACCAGCCCATGATAACTGTACTGTAAGTATATTGAAGAATCAGTCCCATCTTAACTCTTCAAAAAAGATTCTGTTTAGCATCAATTTTATGAAAAATTTTAAGGGTTAAGGGTCAAAGATGTTTCCGATTAATCAGAATTAAAATGATCTTATTTTGGCATCAAACAAAATACCACATATCCATGACAAGACGTCCACATATTTACAGCATCAAAATTACATTTAGAAGACTTGTGATTTTAAATTTTAACCATTTCATCTGTCAATTCTCATCCCCTGTCTCTCATTTTACAAAGGATAATTGCATTCTTGATTATATTTCAGTTTTTAGTATGGTTATAATGAGAAATGTGTTTATATTATTATATTATTTCAGTGTGGTTACAATGAGAAATGTGTTTATATTATTGTATTATTTCAGTGTGGTTACAATGAGAAATGTGTTTATATTATTATATTATTTTAGTTTGGTTACAATAAGAAATGTGTTTATATTATTTCAGTGTGGTTATAATGAGAAATGTGTTTATATTATTTCAGTGTGGTTATAATGAGAAATGTGTTTATATTATTTCAGTGTGGTTACAATGAGAAATGTGTTTATATTATTTTAGTTTGGTTACAATGAGAAATGTGTTTATATTATTTCAGTGTGGTTACAATGAGAAATGTGTTTATATTATTTTAGTTTGGTTACAATAAGAAATGTGTTTATATTATTTCAGTGTGGTTATAATGAGAAATGTGTTTATATTATTTCAGTTTGGTTACAATGAGAAATGTGTTTATTTTATTATATTATTTCAGTGTGGTTACAATGAGAAATGTGTTTATATTATTTTAGTTTGGTTACAATAAGAAATGTGTTTATATTATTTCAGTGTGGTTACAATGAGAAATGTGTTTATATTATTATATTATTTCAGTGTGGTTACAATGAGAAATGTGTTTATATTATTTCAGTTTGGTTACAATGAGAAATGTGTTTATATTATTTCAGTTTGGTTACAATGAGAAATGTGTTTATTTTATTATATTATTTCAGTGTGGTTACAATGAGAAATGTGTTTATATTATTTTAGTTTGGTTACAATGAGAAATGTGTTTATATTATTTCAGTGTGGTTACAATGAGAAATGTGTATTAAAAGAGAATTGTGAGATTGTAAATGGAAGATATTACAATTGTAAAGTTACTAAACAATGTTTGTCAAACTCTGGTGAGTAAAGCCTAGTTAAAGGCCAGGGCTGCCATTTTTGGTGTTTGAGGTCTTGAATATATGTAAATATTCCTCAGAACTACTAGAACTGCACAGAAATCACATAATTATTTCATTGAGCTGGAACACTATTACTGATTAGCTTAGCTAAAAGCCTTCAATTTCCAAAACTGAGGCATGATTGTTCAAACAGATGGCAAATCTGTCCCTTTAAAACTGTAAAACAGGGTGTTGGATGGTATGCTTGATTGAGAGATGTCCTGACTTAACTTGTTCAGAAGTCTGTGGCTTATTCAATATCTGTAGAAAGTTTCATTGATAATAAATAGACCAAGTACTAACGATCCACAACACAACGAAACCCGAAATTTAAAAAGACACTTTGACGCAACATTGATAGCAGCTAATTCACATGAGTAAGTATTTCATTATGAAAAGTGTTATCAGATGTTTAGAAGAGTAAGCATACCCTGACTGGCGACACAACCAGTATTGATCTGTTATTTAAGCTGATATGTATTATTTACAGTGTATGATCCGTGTATAGCCACTACCTGTCACAGGAATTCAGAATGTTATATAGATATTAATTCTCAGGGTAGATGTTCTTGTAGAAAGGGATTCAGTGGTGCCAACTGTTCTACTAATGGTAAGTTAACTTAACACTGAATGCGAATAAATTAAACATATTGTTCCCTTAACTCCAATTAATATAACTTAAAGAATAAGATAACAAAGACCAATAACAAAAAAATATCACTGTTAAATAGTGGTCAATACATCAATTGTAGAGTGATATAGAAATGCCACTGTTAAAATAGTGCTCAATATATCAATTGTAGGGCGATATAGAAATACCACTGTTAAAACAGTGCTCAATATATCAATTGTAGAGTGATATAGAAATACCACTGTTAAAATAGTGCTTAATACATCAATTGTAGAGCGATATAGAAATGCCACGGTTAAAATAGTACTCAATACATCAATTGTAGAGTGATATAGAAATACCACTGTTAAAATAGTACTCAATACATCAATTGTAGAGCGATATAGAAATGCCACTGTTAAAATAGTACTCAATACATCAATTATAGAGTAATATAGAAATACCACAGTTAAAATAGTACTCAATACATCAATTGTAGAGTGATATAGAAATGCCACTGTTAAGATAGTGCTCAATACTACTTTATATGATGTAATTTTGTAACTGCTATTTTGCTGGCTGATCGGTGATCGGGTCTATATTACAAGACTATCAAAAAAAAAATCACCGTGTTACTTCTCTTAAATACCCAATCTGAAGAAGTTTATATATATGTGTATTAATATTACAGATGCAGTGTGTGATAAGGTAATGAATGTTACTTATTGTGCTGTATATGAGAAAGGTACTTGTATTGGAGATTTAGAGAATGGTGTCATGTGTTCTTGTCGCCCTGGTTCCAGTGGTCCATTCTGTGAGGATGCAGGAACTGTATTAGGTAAGTTCCTTTTTGAAAGCCCCCAAAGTGGACAGTTGGAAAGTTTCTTAAATATATCAATTCATCAACAATACCATCAAAGGGATTGTCAATTTCAGATAGTGGTTCCTGCAATTTTACTAAAACTAAGCATTTGATGTTCTCCCAAAATCTGCTTTTGATATACCTTTATGATAGTGACATCAGGTTTAGTGGAATTGAAGGAACCACAGTCGTCTGATTGAAAATTGGAATGGTGCAAATTGATGCTATAAGTGTTACTGATATACAATAAAGAGTTCAAAAGTCCTCTTTACAATCACTTTCATTTTATTAGGGCAAGAAATCTTTTCCCCCATTGTCTGTTTGGATGTTTAAATGATATAATATATGTATTATATATTCTGAAAAATTCATACACATGGTTGTTTCTGATTTCAGCAAAATCAAGATGTGAGAAGAAAAAGGAATTCTATGATCTGGTCTTAAGAGAAGACACTCCACGATCCTATTTAATTCGTCAACTGATGAATTCAACAGGAATTCCACTAGTAAACTGTACACCAGAGGGTTACTTTACACCCAGACAGTGTTTCAAGAACATGTATTATAGTTCTACGCAGCCTGAGACCAATTGTAAATGTGTGAATGCTAGAGGGGATGTTATATCAGATATCAAAACCTACCCTGGACATGACACCTGTACAGGTAAATAATGCATTTTGTACCATATAAATCCATAAAACTAAGTAATTATCCATAAAACTACAGGTAATTATCCATAAAACTAAGTAATTATCCATAGAACTACAAGTAAGTATCCAAAAAAATGCCAGTAATTATCCATAAAACAACAGGTAATTATCCATAAAACTAAGTAATTATCCATAGAACTACAAGTAAGTATCCAAAAAAATGCCAGTAATTATCCATAAAACTACAAGTAATTATCCATAGAACTACAAGTAATTATCCATAGAACTACAAGTAATTATCCATAGAACTACAGGTAATTATCCATAGAACTACAAGTAATTATCCATAGAACTACAAGTAATTATCCATAGAACTACAAGAAGGTCTTTTATTGAAAGATTCCTTATTTTTATGGATTATCAGATTATACAGGGATTCTGTTGTATAGATATGTCACCTGGTAAGTACAACTGATGAATATTATTCTCTTATTGGACAAGTTGAAGTGTTCCTAAAGTGATATTCATGTAATCTTTCTTCTGTTTGATTTCTCCTTTTATTTTATAGTACCTGATTCACATGCTGAAACAGCACGAAGAATCTGTTCAATACAAATGGCTAATGATCTATGTTGGAATGGTGGTAGATGTAAGGGTGATATATTCAATGGTAGAATCTGTGAATGTAGTAAAGGTTATTCTGGTCTTTTCTGTCACAAACGTGGATTTGAAGAAGGTAATTTTTATCCTCATTTCATTGACATTGTTATGACGACTATTGGTCTGAGATTTTTGCACATCCAGGGATGAATCGAAATATGAACAGTACACTTTTATTCTAAGGTAGTTTAAATAGTCCAGAACGCTTCATTAGTTGGTCTTGTATCGTTCAATTACCCAAAAATAAATAGGTTTATGTTATAAATCAGACCAAGGTATCTGAAGTTTGTTAGGAAGTCATTGATGGAATTTTTTACAAGATGATGTTATTTTAAACAGTAGAAATTTTTTTTTGGTTGGGAAATATAGCTAATCTTCATTTTAATATACCTTATCATTTCAGTTGATGAACAGTCTCTATGTGAACTAAATCATCAAGCTTTTAACTTAATTACTCAGTTCACCAACTCAACAGGCAACTTCTCTGATTATATGACCAGACATCACAATGTGGACGAAACAGCTCGCCGTTTCCTATCTGTATTAGAGGTCTACATGCGGGCTCCAATGAATAACCTATTCAATGACAGTTTGGTACCAATGGCTAAATGTGCCCGTAATGGGGATTTTGAACCAGTGCAGTGTTTGTATAATGTAACAGATATGAAGGAGGATTCCTGTTATTGTGCTATGAGAAATGGAACAGCCATACCTGGTACTAGAGTTATGGCCCCTAACAGACCAATGTGTGAAAGTAAGTAGAAATGGAAATGAAATGGATCTGTTCATGTTTAGGTTTTACTATGCAGTGAGGGATATTTCTTCTGATGTAGACATTAGCTTACTCTTTTTTTTTTATTTCCAATTGTCTAGAGATAGATTGTAGTGCAAAGGGCCTCATGTTTTTAACAGTATTAATATTGTTTTTAATGGAACCTAATGTGTTCTAATGTCTTAACTTCTACTTTGCCACTCAACTGATAGCCATTGGTGAATTTTGTTGACTAACAATGTATTTGGTTTCAGGAAATGGAAGTGTTTGTGAAAGTCTAGAATATTGTTCATTAGAATGTAAACATGGATATCAATATGATATGTCTGGTTGTCCTATCTGTGCTTGTAAATCACTGTGTGCTGTAAGTAATGACATCTTCTATCCATACAGATAATCTTAAATCACAAAGATATGAAACCTTCTAGAATTCATTCCCAACCTACAGGGAAGATTTGAACCTTATTCCTAAAAACTTAACTTAAGTAAAAATCCAGATTTTAGGAAATACAGTAATCTGATTGGGTACTAAACTTAATTTGAAATCAATTGACCAGATTACTGGAGCACTAAAATCATCTTTAGTTAAGTTTTCAAGAATATGGCCCCTGATAAGTTCTGTGCTTAGTTTTTTTTTATTATAAAATTGAGCATCCTTTTTGAGAGTCCGCATAAACATGTCAACATTATGCTTAATGACTTATAGACTTTCTGCCAGAAAAGGATACAAGAGAAGAGCTTAATGAGTTCAAGGTATTAGATGCAGTGAATTGTGAACATGCCTTTAAGGAAGATCTGACACAATTTTTTACTTAGTTTTGTGGATTGAGCATTCATTTTGGAGAATCCACAAGGCCCATATCTTTTATTTTAATTTTTATATGAAATTTGCAATGAACATCTGTATATTACAGGGTAAAGTGTGTACTACAGGAAGTACCTGTCATGTTGAAGAGAGATGGAACTGTACACATGGTTCAGGTTCTTGTCAATCAGCTGTATGTGTTCCTGGTAAGATATGATATAGCATATTTCCTTGTTTATCTGATACAAAACATCAGTTCTATATAATTAATTATTTTAGATTATTAATTATTTTGCTCTGATCAATATGAATTATTTTTTTAATTAAAAAAAAACTAGAAAAGACTGTAAACTATTACACAATGTGATCAATATTAATCTATATTTTCTAGATGATAAAGTTGGTAAATGTCCAAATCATCAGCATTCTAATATGACAGACATCCTCAATAAATACCTGAATAGTTATGATTGTACCAGTCAATGTAGAAATGACAGTGACTGTAATGGTGACATGGTCTGTTGTGGAATGAGTTGTGGTTCACAATGTATGAAGCCTTTAGGTAATGTATACCTACTGGTACCTTGTTTATTTTTGACTCTGCTTGCCCTAGATTTGTCATTTTGTGACATACTGTTTGATCTAAGCTAGTTTCTACTAGTTCCAAGCACTAGAATAATGTGTTTCAGACATTTTAACTAGCACCAATTTTCATAGAGATTTAACGAAAAATGCAGTAAATCTAGCACTTATACAGAGAAATTGCAAATTGCAAAAGATAGATAAATCAACACCCCTACTTGTCGTAGCAATGGTTAGATAATGGAAAAACTGGAGTTCAATTTCTTTGTGAACTAGAATTGTGAAAGACTTTTGAGCGAGGAA